ACTCGCAATAATAGGTTTTAAATTAAGGGCGGGAAGGTACCGGCTGGTTATTAGGAAAAACTTTTTTACAGGAAAAAAGTGAAAGATCTGGGGGCACAGGTGGTGTTCTCCTCCATTTTACCTGTTGAGGGCCATGGAGCTGGAAGGGATAACAGGATACTGGAGGTGAATGGCTGGTTACGTAGATGGTGCTGTTGAGAGGGATTTGGCTTCCTGGACCATGGTTTGTACCTTCAACATGAAGGACTGTTGGCGACGGATGGGGTGCACCTTACAAAGAATGGGAGGAATGTCTTTGCTGGAAGACTTGCGAACCTGATCAGGAGGGCTTCAAACTGAAGACATCGGGGGTGGGAAGAAAAAGCCTGATGTTGTGCAGCATCCCCAACACTAAGTTCAAGAAGGGGAGTGACCAGAGAATAAATGAACGGGGGAGAGGTGAGTTCAGTAATTTTCATGTAACAGTTGGCTGAGACAAATAAAATGAATTTCAATAGAGTTAAATGCAAAGTCCTATACTTAGGTACTAAAAATCAAAGGCACAGATATAGAATGGGAGGGACTTGGCTTGACAGCAGCACATGTGAAAGGGATCTAGGTGTTCTGGTTGATCACAAGCTAAACATGAGCCTACAGTGCGATGTGGCTGTGAAGAAAGCTAACGCAATCTTAGGATGCATTAACAGAAGCATTGTGTCCAGATCAACGGAGGTGGTAGTTCCGCTCTATTCTCCTATGGTCAGGCCTCACCTGGAGTCCTGTGTCCAGTTTTGGGCACCACATTTTAGGAAGGATGTCGACAAGCTCAAGCGTGTCCAGAAGAGGGCAACCGGAATGGTGAGAGGGTTGGAATCCAAGTCTTATGAGGAAAGGCTGAAAGAGTTGGGTATGTTTAGCCTGGGAAAGAGAAGGCTTAGAGGGGACATGATTGCAGTCTTCAAGTATTTAAAGGGCTGTCATGTAGGAGATGGAGCAGATCTATTCTCTCTTGTTCCGGATTGCAAGACTAGATCCAATGGGTGGAAATTACAAGGGAGTCGTTACCGGCTAAATATCAGGAGAAACTTCCAAACTGTTGAGCAGTGGAACAGTCTGCCTTGGGAGGTGGTGGATGCTCCTTCGCTGGATGTTTTCAAGTGGAGGCTGGACGACCATCTGTCAGGTATGTTGTAGGTATGTGGGGCTATCTTTCAGTGATGCTCCTGCAGAGTGCAGGGGGTTGGACTAGATGATCTGCAAGGTCGCTTCCAACTCTGACATTTTATGATTCTATGAAAGGAAGAGTTGTGCAACAGCAGAATCCACTACCTAGGGAGGTAGTGACCTCCCCCTCACTGGCAATCTTTAAGCAGCATCTGGACAAACACTTGTCAGGAATGCTCTAGGCTGATCCTGCACTGTTTCAGTGTGTTTATTATTTGTTGCTCCCCTTCCTTCTTCTGCTCAGGTGGGGCCCATATGCCCTTAGGACCACAAAAAGCTTTAGAAATAAAAATAAATAAATTTGGTTGCTCTTGGGCAAAGGGCTAGGAATTGGCTGCAAAAAACTGGTGAGAAGTCAGAATGACTGCAGAAGACAAAATGCATCCTCCATTGAGTTATCCTAGGAAATTTGTTCAAGCCTATGCCAGCATGTGACAAAACTCAGTACAAAAACTCTTCAAGAAACCTATTACAATACAGTGGCTTACTGCAGTATTTTCCTGCCTTCTTCTAAAAGCCTAGAGTGACTAACAAGGATTTTAAGAGCCAAACAAAGTATTTTAAAAGTGAAACAAAAAAACAGTTCTTACAGAACACTAAAAACACAATGAATTCATATAATATCTCACTAATTTTGGCCACAGCAACAAAATATTCAAGGGAGCTTTTCTATGCTGGCAATAGAGTTGCACTGTTCTAAATGATCCACAAAGTAACTTAGATAAATTACTAGAGACTTTGATCTACGATACTGTGTTTACCTTAGTGAAAGTAGGATCCTACTATGTAATTTTGTATCACTTAATGTGTCATGTTAATGCTTATGTTTTGCTTCAGTTCGAATTGTATTAGTTAATCAATTATTAGATAAATCTATATGGTGGGGAGGTTAGAGGGAGGGAAATGAATTAATATATATGAATATTTCCCCAACCTAAAATTCTTTCCCACTTATTGAAGTTTATTGGTCCTTTAATCAAATTAGATCGAAATATTGGATTTGATTATATTGATTTGTATATTGATTTGTATTGGCAGTGTGGGTTTTTAGAATTGGATAGTTCCAGCCTATTGCTGGCTGCTGGAAAGTGTAAATTGGGGTTCACAGCACTGATGAAAGGGGGGGGCATGCAAGGGCCAGGGATACCAGTGATTATGGGGCGGGGGGATATAGTGGTGGGTGCAGGTGTTATTCCCCTAATTGGAATGGAAGAGATTGGAGATATGGGAATGCTCGGACTCCTTCCCACCTATGTCACAACCCAAGAGATGTTGGTTGTGGGGCTAGAAAAACTTACCCTTCTTCGACAATGGTGTTATTTAATGCTAGGTCTAGCAATAATAAGATTGATGTGCTCTGTGACTACCTCATGGAGTCACGGGTCGACCTGGCTTGTGTGACCGAGACCTGGGTGAGGGATGGTGAAACAGTCGCCTTGAACCAGCTTACCCCACCTGGGTTCTCAGTCTTTCACCAGTCTTGGATGCATGGGCAGGGAGGTGCATGCGTTTGTTTGTCCATGAATTTTGTTCCTTCAGGTTGCTCCCCACACCAATAATCTCTGGCATTGAATGTGCTGGCCTAGCGTCTGATGTTGAGGAGAGTCTGGCTATCTGGCTGGGGTACCAACTGCCTAATGCATCAGCAGATACCCTGTCTGACCTGTTAGATGCTGTATCAGCCTGGGCATGGGAATATCCCAGGCTCCTGGTCCTGAGTGACTTCAGTATCCATGCTGATGATGCAGCATCTTCCCAGGCTAGGGACCTAGTGTCATCCATGGAGGCACTGGGACTCTCCCAGTTTGTATCAACTCCCACGCACCAAGCAGGCCACATGCTGGATTTCGTTTTTGGGATGGGGATACATGTGGATCGGATAACTACAGATATAGTTCCAGGATGAAGCAAGAGCTAAGACGGCTAGAGCGGATGTGGCGGCGTACTCATGACGAAGTCTCATGAACATCTTATAGGATGTTTATGAAAGCCTATGAGCTGGCAGTGAAGGCCGCAAAGAAGAATTTCTAAGTGGCCTCCATTGCATCTGCGAGGTTGCGCCTGGCCAAATTATTTAGAATTATTCGGTCTATTACAACTCTGCCACAGGGCAGAACAAATAGTAGGGAATTGGCTGCGAGGCATTTGCGAGCTATTTCGCAGATAAGATTGCGACACTCCACCACGACCTCCCGACCACAATTGAAACAGTAAGGAAACTGGAAGCCCCTTGTTTGTTTTCTGGTCCAATACTGGACCACTTCAATTGACTCCTGGTAGCGGTGAGGCTTCCCACCTGCCTCCTTGACCTATGCCCTTTTTGGCTGGTGAAAACTTGCAGGGAGAGCATTTGGGTCCCTCTGGGAGAAATAATTAATCTGTCCCTTTCTACTGAGACTTTCCTGGAGGCTCTGAAGGAGGCAGTGGTTCGCCCACTCTTGAAAAAGCCTTTATTGGACCCTACGGTCCTGACCAACTACTGCCCAGTATTGAACTTCTTTATTTAACCTTAACAAATGTAAACACAACCTCTATTTTGAATATTCCATGCCTGACTGATTACCTGAACCTAAAAGCAGAGTTATTTGCAGACAGCTTAATTAGGTCAAAAGCTTTGAACAACCTGAATCCAGGATGCCTTAAGGAACACTTTCACCTCTATGAACCTTCCCACTCATAAACTCTTTTTCTAAGGCTGTATTCCAGGTTCCTCCATTGCCTCAAGTGTAGTGGATGGATACTTGGACCTGAACTTTTCCACAGTGGCCACAAAACTCTCTGTCCCCCATCCTTGAGAAATTGATTCTGCCTCATGTTTGTTGACTTTTCAGCACCAAGCAAAATTGTCTGTCACTGCTAACGCATATTTGTGTGTTTGATAAAATAAATAAATAAATAAATAATGATAAAATAAATAAATAAATAAATAAATTCACTTCTGACTTATGGGCTGCAGTCAGATGTGGCTTTAGATCCAGCATAGCTGCAAATGCCTGATGGATCTAAAGTGCACAATCAGACAGCGACATCCAGGAAAAGTCCCACAGTCGTCGGCACCCTGTGCTGCCCTGCCAGAGAAATGGAATTAAAAGACACAGGAGAAAGTCCGGTCCTAACACTTGACAATGGGCCACAGATGGATTCTCTGTAGTCTGACATACACTCAAGCCGTTGGAAGTCTCCTCATTCCATCCTGACTCAATGCCTTTTCCTCGTTTAGCAGTATGCACATAACCACATACTCCATGGGGAACCCTCCAAGTAGAGGTTTGATTCATTTATGCACATGGGAAACAATGGTAAAAAAACCCCTACTTGCCCAAAGTGGCATCGGATTGTGCATTGATGGGCTGGGCCCACAGCTCAAAGGGATGTATGACTGCGCGACTGTGAGGCAAATTCCACCAGAAGAAATAGAGGTGCTTCCCCTTCCACACCAAATGGCACGTCTGACTGCAGTCATGGTGACCCTATGAATTAATTACCTTCAAAATACCAAAGAAGAAGATGAAGAAGATGGAGGAAGAGGGTTTTATACCCCGCTCTTCACTACCCGAAAGCATCTTGGAGCAGCTTACAATTGCCTCCCCTTCCTAATCTGACAACAGACACCCTATGAGGTAGGTGGGGCCGAGAGAGTTCTGATAGAACTGTGACTGACCCAAAGTCACCCAAGCTGGCTTCATATGGAGGAGTGGTGAATCAAACTGGGTTCCCCAGATTATGTGTTTTACAAACTTTTATGCCTCTGCAGTACAGAAGGTTAGAATGTACACTAAAACAAAACTGAAACATACTGGTCCTCTCAAGTCGATGAGTTCCTGTCTCATCTGAGACACAAGTGCTTCCTTCGCGATCAAAGCTCGGTGTAGCCTCTCGTTGAACTCTATCAGCTCTCCATGCATTTCTGCCACCTGCAAAGCACACAAAACAAACAACAGGGTTGGAATCAAGTGCCATTAGATATTAATGCACAATAAAACACTGCTCTGGATGACAGGTTTCTTAGCACAAGCCACCACCAGACAGGACAGGATTTTTCCTGTTGCACCATCTTCTGCCTGCCCTACTGCACTGGGGTTACCAAAGGGAATTATAAAGGGTGTGAGGGAACAGAATCTGGGCCTGGATGAGGATCAATAACTAAGGGTTAACTAAAGTAAACTGACAGGAATGAGATGCTTTATTTTCTCAAAAGTAAACAAGAACAAAGTTCATTTATAATAAAATACGTAACTGAGGCAAATATCCACAACCAATCATGAGTTTTGGGCTATTATGTTTTACATCTGGGTAACAAAAATGAGGAACACACATACTGGATGGGGGATACACTTTTGAGTAGCAGTGTGTGTGAACAAGATCTTGGGTACGGGTGGACCGAAACTTAAATATGAGCAGACGGTGTGATGCAATGACAAAAAAGGCAACTTCAATCTCGGGGTGTATCAAGAGAGGCATAACATTAAGCTCCCGGTTTATGGCAACACGCTGGCGGATGCATCTCCCGGACCTCCCGGGGATGTGATCTGTGCACCAGTGAAAAGGAGAGGGGCAATTGGTCGCTACCCCCCCGGAGCCTTGGCAAAAGGCTCCTAGCCATGGGGCTTTTGAGGGGTGGCCTCTTCGCCAGCGCGATGCTGGGGAATTGAGGAGCTCCTCCGCCCCAACGGTCCTGCTGCTGAGTGCTCGTATGGATCTAGAGCCGCTGACCAGGACAAGCATCGGAGATCTAGCGTTTCAAACGTATGCTGAGCGAGGTTGTATGACCAACAATGAAATGTGAGTTGTGTTAAGCGTAACGAGAAATTAAAAAGAAAGCTACCAGCTGGGAACGGCGAAGAAAGTGAGCGGGGGAGGGGCCCCTCCCATACGCATGAACTAAACAATGAAATACTAAGGGGGGAGCGGAAGAAAAAGCGTTGAAATCTGTTTTGAGAGACTTACCAGAGTGCAGATAAGCATGTGGGCGTATTTAAGAGACTTTAGCAAGTTTTCATAAAAGTAAACAATCCATAAAGATGGCGGGGAAAAGGGCAGAGAAAGACAAACTGGTAAAAGTGAGACCAGCCGGAATCTTGAGCTCTCGACTGGAAGAGACCACCGAGCTCTCCAAAATGCTGGCAGAGTCCTTGCGCCCTCTGCTGGACCAGATGACTAACATAGAACAACAGCTGATGAATCTAAACCAGAATCTTGCAACTCAGCAGCTCCAACTGACTTGAGACTTTAAAAATAATGGAGCAAATGGCTGAGAAGGTGAAGGAAATAGATGCCAATGCCAAAAAAGATAACAAAAGAAAACGTGCAAAAGCTGGGGGGGAAACAAGCCTCGGAAAAATCACAACTTTTACAGCCGCAAATGGAAAAAGCAAATTTGGTCCTACGGTTTCAAGGGGTCCCAGAATTAAAAGGTGAAAATCTAAAGCAACTCCTGAGTGAAGCATTAGCCCCAGTTACAGAAATTGATGTGGTCTATAGATCCTATTCCGTGTACATCAAAAAGAATAATCTGCCTGGGGAAATAGTGGGTAGATTCTCAAAGCGACATGTGAGGGATTCTATCCTGAAAGCCACTACAGGAACACCCTCGAAAATCGGGGACAACACCATCAGGATTCTAAAAGACATTCCATTTGGAAATAAGACAAAAGAGAAAGAAATATAAAGACTTAATCCTTTTTCTTCAAACAAACAGCATTGCCTACAGATGGTTAATTCCAGAAGGAGTCATTTTCAAACTACAAGATAAAAAAGAAAAGATTGACTCTGTTTCCAAAGCACGTGAGTGGGACGACAGGAGTCAAAGGCTCTGATTGGGAGCTTATGGAGTCCTAGCCCTAGGCTGAGCGACGGATGAAAGTTTTGGTTTGTGCCCATAAGGGCGGGAAGACACAGTGGGTGAGCGTTGCCACTGTGTTTCTGGGGACGACTTAGGAGAGGATCTGCGAGACCATGGCTTGTTCCAGGATTTCACTTTGGATAGTTTAGGAGCCGACGTGACTCCTAGATTTCATGACGTCTTTATACTTTTGTCTAGGTCTTGCAGGACTGTATCCGTCGTGGCACTGAAAAGGCCCTCACCTTTGAATGGAAGGTCTTCAATGAGAGTCCTGGTGTCCTGTGGTAGGGCAGTAGAACGCAACCAGGTGTGACGTCGGAGGATAACTGCTGAAGTCAGTGTTTTGGCAGCCGCATCCAATGTGTGCTTAGCTGCATTGAGCTAATGCTTAGCCAAAAGCATTCCCTCCTTTTGAATCCTGCGAGTCTGACGGTTAGAGTCCTCAGGGATGGTTGCGATAAAACTCGGACATCTGCTCCCAAAGAGCAAACTGATATCTCCCCATACATGCTGTATAGTTAGAGGTCTTGATGCCAAGTGCTCCCACAGAATAAAATTTTCTTTCAAACGAATCAAGTTTCCTTCCTTTTTTCTCAGAGGGGGTGGAATGACTGTGTCTGCCCTTGGAGGAGGAGGTGACTACGATAGAATTAGGTTTAGGGTGGGTAAATAGAAATTCAGCACTCTGCTCCTGCACCTTACACATACGATCTACCCTCCGGCTCAAGATGGGGGTAGATGCCGGGTGTGACCATGGGTCTTTAGTCACCTGAAGGAGGACTGAAGTCATCAGTAAGGCAATCAGGGTAGAGGTGTCCATCTGGACGATATCAAACACAAAGTCTGTCACAGTAGGCAGGGGTTGCACCGTAGACAGAGTGAGCGTGTTAGCCATCCGCTTGATGAAATTCCCATAGGATTTTAAGTCTTCCGGAGGGGAGATTGGGAGAGAATCGCCCACTTGTTGAGGTGGCGAGGGTTCCACTGGAGGATAGGGGTTTTCGTCCCCTGATTGGGAGGAAGCGTCTGAAGAGATGGAATGCTCAGACGGTTTGGGAAAAGACATAGGTAACATCGGTGTCAATGGAGTCAGATTCAATGGATCTCTAAACTTTGGAATTGTCAGGTGCGACGGTTTGGGAGGTTTGCCCATCAGCCTCGACGTTTGGGGCTTTACAAACCACGGCATCAATGGAGGATCTCAATACCAGGAGAGATGGGAAGAGGTGGACTGACGCGCCCATTACATTGGTTGGGGTGGGAACCACAGCATACTGCCTGAAAATGGATAGGCCCCATACATGTATTGCCACTGCCGTTAATCCAGGAGTGCGATGGCGGTGGGTGGATCAATGCCGATGGCCTGTCTTGATTAACAGGTTGGAGCTGTGAAGGATGGACAAATGCATTGGCTCCGCGGTCTGAGTGCAGACTTTCGACACTGGAAGACTGGGAGATCTGTGTTAAGTCCATATCGTGCTCAGAGTCAATGAGCTGGATAGGACGCAGCGAAGGTGACCGAATTACACCTTGTGGCTGCTCTCTGCTCGAAGAGTCAAGGGAAGCAGCCCCCATAGGATTTGGTTCCGTGGCCCTCTGAGGAGTCAGTGGAGATTGCACAGGGGGAGTTTTCTTATGCTTTTTATGCTTGACTGGCCAATTGTCTTTGCACTCCCTGTGTTTTTTAGAGGGAGTATGGGCTTCGGACTGAGATATCTGTGCTGAACGTTTCAGCATCGGGCGGTCGACATCTACATGAGTTGGTATCGGGGACGGCGCAGTCGTTGATGCTGAGGCAGCAGTCACTGTCGACGCATGCCCTGAAGTGTCCTGTGACGACATTGGTGAAAGCGCTAACTCCAAAAGCGCGACGCGAAGTCTGGCAGCTCTGTTCTTCCTTTTCTGCTTTGAGAACTTTGCGTAATGAGCACAAGAGTCCACTCGGTGCAGTTCCTCAAGGCACAAAAGACAAAGCGAGTGTCCATCTGGTGTGTGTAGGGGGTGATTTTGCTGCCACACTTAAGGCACCATTTAAAGAAACGACAGAGTCCAAAAGGAAATAAATCCGTAGTAACAAAGTCCTTTCACTTAACAAAAAAGAAACAAGAAGAAAATGAAGAAACTTTGAAGAAAAAGAGGAATAGGCCTAAAAGCCCAAATTTTTACCGACCAAAGTGGAGAAGATCCTACCAGCACGGTAGTCAGAAGAGAACTGGAGGGATTGTCATGCCCCTCCCTTAGTCATGCGCAGTGAGGCCGGCGCATGACGAGGGAGTAGGCGTGAAAATCCCTTTTGCTTTTCAAGAGGAACTGATGGAGGTTGGTGCAGGAGCACTATATCCCAGAGGTTTAAATGCACAGAGACCACGAAGAAGATCTGGGCCTGCCAAGCCTTCTCCCCAACCCCCGGCACTGACAGTAAGGCCCGGGCCCACCAAGCCTTCTCCCATGACTCCTGGCACCTGTATGGCTCCCAGCCACTGGGCCCGCCAAGACTTCTTCCCCGTCCCCCGGTGCTGACGGTGAGGCCCGTGCAGCTCCCAGCCACTGGCCTGCCAAGCCTACTCCCCCGCCCCCCCCCAGGACAAACAGCGAGGCCTGGGCCCACCAAGCCTTCTCCTCTGCCCCCCAGTACCGACGGCGAGGCCCGCACGGCTCCCAACCCACCAAGCCTTCTCTCCCCCCCCCCACAACGGCAGGGAGGCACAGTTCCTAGTGTGTTCTCTGTGCATACGCAGGGAACGCTCTTTTACTTTTGGGGGGATTTAAGTATCCCCCTTTGTTGTGTATGTAATATAATGTATGAAGGTATTGAGCTTGAGTCTGACTAAGGTATTGTAAAATGACCTATCGGAACAAAGGTAGTTCTGGAGGGAAGCAAAGGGATTGGTCTTTATGTACGATATTTGATTGGACCTTATCTGACATGTGGGCGTGGCTTGCCAAGCCCGGACAGTTAAAAAGGAGCCTGTTGCTCCATTGTTTGTCTCGTTCTGGTTCTTCTGACTTCGTGTTCAAATAAAGCTGTTCACCTGCTGCCTCGAGTCTCGTATTTAACACCCTTATAGTTTT